GGCAGCGGTCGCGCGCGGCCGGCAGGGCAGCCCCTGCGGTCTCGTAAAGGCCACCGATCCCCTGACGTTAATACCTCGCACTGCAGAACATAGATGGGCTGAGTCTGTTTATTTGATGTTTGTCTTGGAGCCTTGATTTCTTGAGAGGAGTAGTAAAAACACGGGTCTCACTGGGGGTATTGAAAAGGCCTTTCCTCCTGCACAAAAAAACCCTTTCTTCTTGCAAAAGCTAGGTGTGATTCATTAGAAAACAAAAAAGAACCTGATGGATTAATTAGGTTTGCCTAACGTCTGACCTAATTTGCCATTGTAACTGCTTGCAGTGTATTATTTTTATATTTCTATTTGTTAAGAAATTGATATTTCATAGCAGCATTTGTTATACCCTGAGATGCATTAAAATACCTTCAAGTGATTAATTAACATGCAGTGTTGGTTCTGTAATTTGCACTGTAATTTAAGGCAAGCGTTTTGAGCAGGCTGGAAGCTGGCAAACGTCTGATTTATCCGGCCCGCTCGGCACGGGGAGCCGGCTCGTGTTGTGGCCGTTTCGCAGCGAAGCAGCCTCCGAAGCTCAGCACGTTATTTAGGCTGGTGGGTTTTTGAGGATGAAGAAAGGCTGCTGCGTCTGCATCAGCCGAGGCGGGCTGCCCGCCGCGGTCCCTGCGGAGGCGTCTGCGTCTGTGTCTGCATCCGCGCGGGCCGGGCAGAGGGGCTGGGCGCACCCCACGGGGGAGGGGGCTGCGGTTTGGGGTTTGGGGCCCAAGCCCTGGAAAAAATTGTTTGGTGAGCGTAGGTCTGGCGGCAGTGTGCCAGAGCGGCTGCACGTGCTGGGAGAGCGGCGCGCGCGCGCACCTTCGCAGTGCAGCTGGGGCCAGGGCCTCGCGGGGCTGAGTCAGGGCAAGCCCGGCTTCGACGGAGCCCGGGTTTCAGCCGAATGTCCCGGGGGATTTGCCTCGCTTATGCCATGCGGGCAGCGACTGGAGCACCAGGAGCTAGCTTCCTCTTTAATGCTTTTTATCCCACAGTGCAAAACGTCACCTATCCTAACTCCGCTCTTGGTAAAAGTATATAAAGCTCTGTTTCAAGGAACAGCTTCCGTGAGGCATCACAGGGGCGGTTAGCAGCGAGGCAGATCGCTAGGAGCGCGGGGCCGGCCGTCGGGCAGGAGCCCCGGCCCACGTGGCGCCTCCTCCGCGGCAGCACGGGATCTCCCGGAGCGACCCGGCCCGGGCGCCCGGGCACTTACACACACGAGCAGGGCCGGGATGGGCGTGCAGTGCTCCACGTGGATCATGGCCAGCAGGCTGGGCAAGTGGCCTTCGCGGGCGCCGGAGAAACACAGCCTGCAAAGAAGAGCAGGAACACTAAATCGACCCTGCGTGCAGCAGCCGCCTCGCTCTCTAGCTGCGCGCACTCTCTGGCCTCAGCCCTCCGAAGACGCCAGCGAGCACCTGGGAAGATGCAGCCGCTAGATGCTGCCGTGAGCAGCACGATTCACTTCGTATTGCTGCCAGAGACTTCCAGGGTAACCTGGCATAAGTTATTTAAACTAGAGCCTTATGCATTGTAGGCCTCTAACTGCTAATATAATCTGTGAAATCAACTGGCCTTCGATGCCTGATTGCCGCTGAGGCTGCGGACGGAAAGCTGTGCAGTCCCTGTCGCTGGGACCGCCTCGCTGTCCAGGGCAGGGTGAGTACAGCGAGGCTGTGAGGAGATCAGCTAGCGCAGAAAAAAATCTCGTGGAAAACATCTCCGGGGTCAAAGTGTCTTGGCTAAGGTTTAACATGCCTTCAAGAGTTTATCTTTAAATGCATAACCATAACCTGTTACATGTGCACTCAAATTTGTTGCATCTCACGACACTTGTGAGAGCGCGAAGATGAATAACTTTCCCAAGGTACTTGAGAGCTGGACTGTTTCCTCAGAAACACGTAGAACTTTTTCATTAAGTCCAGACAGGTCAATTAATATAAATAGACTTTATAGCTTCTAGTCGCACTATCAGCAGTGTGCGCTCAAAACACCTTGCCTGAGAGTGTTGGAACAACGTGTCTGTAACTGGGAACAGAACCTGGTCCTCTAACACCTTTCTGAGCTAAGCGTAGCTTAGCTTGTAGCTACTGCACCTTTATTGATGTAGAATTACTCTGGTTCCATAGCAGAGCAGTGTTCAACTCTCGCTGTGAGTTACTGCACAGCTGCACACACTCTCAGGAGCTCGAAGGGTTATTTTGCAAGAGAGTCTGCGATTCAGTGTTACATTTGCTGATTGAAACAGAGCAATTCGTAACTGAGTGTATCCAACATGCCCCACAACGATCTCATGTTCCATAACATCCAAAATGTCTAGCTAGCATTTCTTTAGCAAATTAAATTAATACAGCCCCTCCCCAAGTTAGATAACGTTCATAAAATTGTACTCCATCTAACCTTGATGAGGTAAAAAGGTATCCATTTATTCCTCCAAATGTAGATAGGGCCACTGAGACTGGCATAACCCAGGAAAAATAGCCCAGTAACTTTTCACCAAATGTCTAAAGCAACAGAAGGCAGAGAAACTGAAATATACTGCAAAGCACAGAACTGAAATCAAAGTGTATTTTAGACATCCAGGGAATGGTTTACTTACTACCGCCACAGCGTTGGAGGACAAGAGCTCTTGGGGTGACATGGCAGTGAAATATGCAATGTTGGTGAACGTATACACAAATGTCACCAATGGGATGGATATGAATATGGCCCGAGGTAGGTTCCTAATAAGAGAATTAGGAGGGTAGATAAGAACTTACAGTCAAACACAGCTAGAGCACAACAACCTGGCACAGCCCGGGGACGTTTATCCCGCTGGGTAGCTTAACCTGCTGTTTCTTGGGCAGCTGCTAAACAGGAGCATCGCTCGTATGTCTGCTTCGGGCGGCAGCTTGACTCGGAGCAGTCTGGGGAAGGCTCACCCTGTCACCCTGTTACAAAACTTCATGTCTGGAGCGTGTAGATGCCACACGCTCACGTTTGGTTGTGAATTTGGATTAAGACCGCAGGTTGCTTGAAACGGAAAGAGCCGTTTCTCAATAGCGCCCGTACGGCCACCAGCTGCGGCGCGCAGAGCCTTGTTCTGCTTTATCTTCGTGTGCTCTGAGCACGACTCGGCTCCTGTCGCTCAGGTACTGCCTCGGCCGGTCGTGCGCCGTAATCTCCCTCTGCCATACCGCCCCGCGGTAATTTACAGTCGTAAAGACTTACTTAATGTCCAATCCAGAGATCTTTTTTAGAGGGGGATGCTTGGACACTTCTGTATTTAAAGCGGTAACAGTTTTTTTTATCTCTGTGTCTGATAAGGAAAACATTAATAAATATATATTTTAACCTGTTTGAAGCAATTTAGTAAAAATTGGAAGTTTTTTTTGTTATTTAGTTAGTTACCTTTTTATATTTTATTTTCCCCTCAAAGGCTGAAAAAATAAAAAGGTCTATTCATTCTTTTTTCTTCTCATTTCTCGACTGAGGCGATATATGTCTTATTTAAGTTGTAACTTTTCATTATTCAGTTTTGAAATTGTGGTGGTCCATTAAAACGTTGGTGTTTTATTAAGGGAACACATTACCACTCTGTCTGAACCGCCAAGGTTTCTGGGCCCGCATAGCTTCATACAGGTGAACACTTTACCAGCAGCTTTAATTCGTTTCCATCCAGCCTAGGTAACATCTTAAATTTCTCCTTGTTTAATTGCTGTGTGCACTGAATGGCCAGAAATGACTAAAGCTCCAAGAGCTGCTCGTGGCATTCCTCGTTCCACTTTATCAGCTCCGAAATTTTGAAACATTTGAGCTTTGCTTTACTAAACTAAAAAAAAAAAAAAAATCACTCTCCCTCAGGCTTTTCCAGCCTGCTGGTGATAAATCATTTCAGAGCCCATGGCTGGGCACGTTATCAGCAGCCAGCCCGCCGCTCCAGCCCCCGCGATAAAAGCGGGACGAGGCCGCGAGGGCCACCTTCCACCGCGCAGTAACTGTCTAAGCTGCTCTTTCAGGGGTTTGTGCGAGATTCCCTTTGGGTGAAGAAGCAAAACCACTTCCAGTATAATTCAATATTTTTCTAACAGCAGGCAGTACTCTCCCCATAGATATTTGCATGGTATCTCTTCAATGGTTAATTTTCTACTATAGAAGCAATATATAATTTGATAGTGCTATCAGGATTATGTTCAGTCCATAGGCTGTTCTGACTCAGTTAATGCTTTCTGCAATATATTCTTCATTTTAGTGTGGTATTTCTTTAAATTGGCTGTTATCTGGTCTAATTGAAAAACATTCTCTCTCCTTTAGATACTCCTTTCCTATAGACACATAACAGTATTGTCACAGCTTATTAAATGAATGATATTAACAGATGGCTCCGCTGTTTCAGCACTTCAGAAGTGTTTGGATCACACGGAAACGGATACTTGCCTGCGGGGATCAACTAATTCTTCTGTCACGTAGTTCAAGAAGTTCCAGCCGCTGAATGCGAAGGACCCTTGAAGGAAAGCTAAGGCTAAATGCCCCACTGATGGAGTCATCCAAAAATTGAACGCGTTGCTTGGTGCCAGTTCCTCGTAGTTTCCTGCGCACAGAGCACAAGCGAGAGGTTACGCCTCCCCGCAAGAGCGCCGCTACCTACCAGAGACATACGAGAAATAAGACAGGAAAACTCTTTTTTGCCTGATGCTCGCTAAACTAAGTTAGAGAATTTGCGTGCTTCACAAATTCACGAGTCACCAGTGGTTGGGTGTCCGCAGCCCTTCAGCGACGGCATCCGCGGGACGCTGCCCCGAGCGGCACGGCGCCCCGGCGAGCTTCACGGCCCTGGCCCCGACCCCGCACCCACCACTGCCATCGGAAAACGGCTCCTTGAAGCTGCAAAGGCCTAGCTGCTTTTAATGCAGTTTTCTCTTACAAGAGTTTCGTGTTGTTTAGTAGAAATACTGAAAAATAAAATATCTGTGGGGCTGGAAGATTTGTCAAAACTGTGGGACTATTATCATTGAGAAAACAAGTTTTTTGTTTTTCTGTAAATGTCATATTTCATCTTTCTTTATATGACTCATCATTTACATGATAAAAACATCATGAACCTTTTGTGTTCTGTGCTTTTCATTAAGTTGATGAATCAGCAAGGCTTTTTTTTTTTTTTTGCCTATTTTTAATCTTCTAAGTGACTTTTTGAAGGAAATTGGACTATTCCTGTGCCTAAAATGAAACCGGTGTCTTCTTGAACTGGACCCAGCATCACTTATTCAGTGTACACCAGGAGCACTTTAAAATGTGAGGACTATGCAACTGATTACGAATTTTCTGTGAGTCTCCTGCAGCATCTCCGGCTTGTCGGTGCAGCCCTGTATTCGCTCAGGAACAGCAACGCAGCCCAGAAAGTAACTCGTACAAGGAGGATACGGCTGATTCCTCTGTTGTGTCAACCTTTCACTGACTCCGGATCCTGTAATCATCTATGAGATACATTTGATTGCATCTGTACTTGGAAGAAATCCTTTATCCTTTTATTGAGAGTTTTTGGCTGGGGCTGTGTGCGCCCGGTGTGGGTAGTGGTGGCGTTTTGGGGGCTGGGGAAGCCAGCCTGCATCCTGCTCCCTGCAAGCGCCCGGCGCCTCTCCAGGCCTCTCCAGGGCTGGCCAGGAACCCTGGTTCATTCCTGTTGGTTTATGTGGGTGGAAAACAGTGTGGGAAGCGTGCTGGGCCTGGAAAAGTCAAGTTCGTCAACAGTGCTGTAGGAATGTTAAAGCTGTCCGTGTTGCAGAGTACCTTTAAAGATTTGTATGAAGCCCACAGTAATGATTAGGGCCAGGGCTAGCAGTTTTCCCGCGGTGAATATATCCTGAATGCGAGTGGCCCATCGCACGCTGGAGCCGTTCACCCAGGTCAGGAGTACTGCAGAGCAAAAGACTGAGTTCAGTGAAATGAAATTATGTTTATTTAAGAATACACATTAAAAGCATTGAAAAACATAGACTGACACCTACGTGTCTACAGGGAGCTCTAGGCTGGCCATGACCAAGGGTGAGAGGGAAAATTCCTTTTTCCTAAGCAATTTCCAGCTGCGGAGAGGCATCCCTTACAGCCAGCAGTTTTTCCCATCTCCATGCTCTGCCGTTCACGCCTTCCCTCTGGCTCTAGTAAATGTGCCTGATTAATGTTCAAAGTGCCAATGGCATGCAGGGATTTCTGGCTTCTCCGGGGAAATGGTGAATGTCTTAATTCCTTTTAGCTCTGATTCATTCTTGCTAGTTCCTCAAGTAATTAATTCAGGAGTGGTGGCGTTTTGCACTTCCTACACGCTCCCATTTGCGAATATAGCAAAGCCTCAGAATAGCTAAAATGCCGGGCAGTGACCCACGCCAGGTGGCAGGCGGCACGTGGCCCTGATGCCATGAGCCCGCGTGCGGGGCCGAGCGCACAGGGAGAGGGGAAGGGGCTGAGGGTCCCCACGTGCCCACGAGGGGCTGCCGTCCAGTCCCGGCTTGTCCTCTGCACGAGACCCCG